GTGACATCTCGCTTGCGAAGGCAAGAGCGGTACCACTCTACCACCAGCACCCCTGTTCCAGAACTTGAGTCCAAACATTCAGTACCTGGAATAATTGTGTTAAGCAGGAGCATCCTGGCATAAGACCGTGCTGGCAGTCCTTTACAAGGTTGTTTTGTAGTATATGTTCCAATATGGTACTGTATCTCTTACAATGATTTCAAGTACTTTACACGGTATTATTTCATTTGCTGCCACTAAACGAATCACGTGAATTTTATAGTTGCAATCAGTAATTTTGACAATTCTAAGACACTTTTCTTCAATGGCATTTCTGGCACAAACTACGTTTAAGCAAGATATTTAACATTTTATTATGTATGTTTGTATGTGGCGGTACACACCCAGAACATCAAACGACTGTGGAGCTCCCCAGTTAGGTTAGGTTTGGTTGGTTAGCGTGTGTACCGACACATATGAACATACATAATAAAATGTTAAGTATCTCATTTAAACGTAATTTGTGGCAGAAATGCCACTGAAGAAAGGTGTCTTAGAATTGTAAAAATCACTGATTGCAACTATAAAATTTTTGAGATTCGTTTAGTGGCAACAAGTGAAATAATATGGTTTATCCTCGATTAGGTTTGGCTAGGTTAGGTTTGGTTTTGGTTAGGGGGATCATAACTCAGAAACGAGTGATTTCCAACAGAAATGGATGTTAGAGTCCGATGACTCTCACTAAAAAACCTTAGGAAAAGAAAATTTTAAGCTTCAAAGGGAATTGGGTGTTAATCAGACAATTTATCCAAAGCTATCCATTGAACATCAAAGCAGCTTACCCTCATACACCACCAAAATACAAGAACTTTATGAACTACTGTATACAATAACGAACCACTGAACACACGTAAACACAGCCAAATTTAGAGAGTTTACTCAAAACTTGAAGAATTGGAGGACCCAATTTTCTCCCAGTTAAGAGAAACCACAATAACACACAGCTGGTGGCCTATGAGCTCCATGCTAACATAGAAGAACCAGACCCACTATATAATGTAAAGTTTCACTAGTTGCCACTATACGAAATCGCAGTTAAAACTATGTTTTTACGGGTTAGGGTCATCTCATACTCAAGTCAACTCGTACCCAAGACAACTCGTACCCAACTCACGAGACAACTCTTACACTTTTAACATGGTCTTAAGTCAACAAAATATAGACATGCATAAAACCAGATTGATTTTCCAGCTCCAGCTATTTGTAAACAAATCAGTTAGTATACTATACAGCATATAATTCTGGGCTCTCTGGTACTTCTTCTGGTATAATGAACTTGTTCTAGGGAGTGGCTGACATCGTCAGGAATTTAGAATGAAATACAGTAGCAGTAAGGATATAAAAGAACGAAGAGTGAGAATATTGGCCAACACATACAATTAGTTATGTTATTGTATGTTAATGATACTTTGGATACATTTGTTAAAATCAACCTTGTCCACGTTTCCACTGTGGATATATATATATATATATATATATATATATATATATATATATATATATATATATATATATATATATATATATATATATATATATATATATATATATATATATATATATATATATATATACATATACATATATATAGCTTCAACCAAAAGTCTTTCTGTAACACAAGATGATTTGAATACTTCTAAGCTTTTTTCCCAAGTAATGGGATGATTATTATTCCTAACATGAACGAACAGGCCCAAGTTTGAATGTAAATGGAAGTGTTTATTGTACTCCATGTAGCAAATGTAATGGTAATTATGTAGGACAGACAGGAAAAACATTGCAGTACAGAATCAGACAACATAAGTACAATATCAGAACAGCATCTGAAAGCAGTGCCCTGTTCGTTCATGTTTGGAATAATAATCATCCCATTACTTGGGAAAAAAGCTTAGAAGTATTCAAATCATCTTGTGTCACAGAAAGACTCCTGGTTGAAGCTAGTTTGATTAAGGAATTAAAATCAATAAACCTTAGTGATGGTCAGTTCAAAACGGATAATATGTTACATAAATTTATTTGTCAGTGGCCCAAGGTTAAAAATGCTTTGAAAACCTTGGATCTAGATGTAGGATAGTTATTTAGTGGGTCCCTTTATTTTTGACCTGACCTGACTAGTCACGTTGCCCCCTTCTCTTAAGCTCCTCTACGTGTGTGTTGGTGTGGGAATTAGTGGATGACATCATTATGACCTGACCTCATGTTTAATAAGGTCACCCTGTATATTTAAGCCTCTCTCTGTCCATGTAATCCAGTTGCCTCATACTGGGCAGTCCCATTTGCACCCAACCCCTATTGCTCATATATCCATCCATGTTTGAAGCTATCCAGCGTATTCGAGTTAATGATGATGTTTAGTAACTTGTTCCATTCATCTACTATTATTTCCAAAGCAAAGTTTACCTATCTCCCGCCTAAATCTAAATTTGTCTAATTTAAAGCCATTATTACGAGTTCGCTCCTGGTTGGATAGTTTGAGTACCTTTGTAATGATCCCTTTGTAAACAGGGACATAACATACGAACATACATAATAAAATGTTAAATATCTCACTTAAATGTAATTTGCGCCAGAAATGCCACTATATAAGTGCCTAAGAAATGTCAAAACCACTGATTGCAACTTTATAATTCCCGAGATTTGTGTAGTGGCAACAAGTGAAATCACCGAATTAACATTTGTTCTGCCTACCGTTTACTCTTATGAAGGCCTGGGCTGAGGTTCATGATCCGTGTTCGACTTCACAGGCAGGGATGGGTAGTTGCTGTCGCCTTCCAAAATTATTGCTTTAAAAAATCAATAGTTCGATAAATAAGGTCTTTATTGTGCTTTGGGCACAGGAGGAGACCTGGGCAAAACACAGTGCTCACGATAAAAGCCCTGTCATTATTTTCACAGAACTCGGAAATGGCAGCAAAATAGTTCCGGGTCCGACTAATTACCCAAATGTAGCCGCAATGAAGTCAAATAATGATCCTACATGAATAAATCGGACTGCCAATCACTTCTCGACTAGTATTTGGTGTCACACAGTCACAAAAAATTGGAAAACTTAATTTAATCTGAGTTAATAGATCGCGTGCATGAACCGAGGGAGCGAGTAATTACCCAAATGTAGCCACAATGAAGTCAAATGATGGTCATACAAGCGTAAATTGGGCTGTGAATCACTTCTCGATTAGTATTTGGCCACGGACTGACCAACTGACGTATCAACCAGTGTTCCCACAAGTTCAGATGAAGAATTCCCTAGACTAAGGTTGAAAATTCCCTAGATTGGATCAAAATTCCCCAAATCCATTTTCCACACATATACAGTATATATATATATATATATATATATATATATATATATATATATATATATATATATATATATATATATATATATATATATATATATATATATATTAAATCACGGAAAAAAAGCAGCAGGCATAGCTTTCTGTCTTTATTCAAGACATCTTCAGAAACTAACTGACCTACTTGAAATATATATATATATATATATATATATATATATATATATATATATATATATATATATATATATATATATACAGAGGAGGGTGAGACCAAGTCCACAATGGTCAAGTATTAGGTAATGACCCTACTAATCTTCAAAAAAGCACCGCAGCACTCGGTTGTCAGGTCAGGTTGGGTCAGCTTACCCTCTGACATGACGACCGAGTGCTGCGGTGCTTTTTTGAAGATTAGTAGGGTCATTACCTAATACTTGACCATTGTGGACTTGGTCTCACCCTCCTCTGTATATATATATATATATATATATATATATATATATATATATATATATATATATATATATATATATATATATATATATATATATATATATATATATATATATATGCAAATAAATCACCGCAGGTGCGCGTGATCCAGGTATATGCTGATAACCACAAGGAAAGAAGAAAACACGAAGTTCCCAAGCCCTTTCGTGTAATTCACATCTTCAGGGGTGAGTACAGACTAAAGAGAAATACAAACCAAGGTGTATATATACAAAGGAGGGTGAGACCAGGTCCACAATGGTCAGGTATTTTAATCAAGAACTCCCCCAACAACACAATTGGTTGCATTTATAAGGTTCCTTGCAAGGAATGTAATATGTTTTACTTAGGCCAGACAGGTAAAGATCTTGCAACTAGAATTAAACAACACAAATACAGTGTTAGGACAGGCCAGGAATCCAATGCTCTGTTTGTTCATTTGAGGGATAACAAGCATTGCATTGACTGGGATATTACCTTGTAATTCAATTGATAGTAGGAACATCTAGTCTTATTAAACATACCGAAGCATTCAACATGAATTTGAGTAACGGCATGTACAAACTGGACAATTTTGTAATTAAGAAGATTTGTAACCAGGTGAGGTCGGGTCATCTTACCATCTGACCTGACCACCTTGGTTTGTATTTCTCTTTAGTCTGTACTCACCCCTGAAGATGTGAATTACACGAAAGCGCTTGGGAACTTCGTGTTTTCTTCTTTCCTTGTGGTTATCAGCATATATATATATATATATATATATATATATATATATATATATATATATATATATATATATATATATATATATATATATATATATATATATATATATATATATACACACAGTATGCTAGTGACTGCTGGTTGATTGACAACACCCAAAAGAGACACTCAAAAACCTTACCATTCACAGTATCTAATAGTGAATGGAGTTAAGCCCTATGAGTTCTTTCAAGCTAAGTGAGGCAATAAAGGCATACAATATATTACAGGGTACTTGGTGCGTGTCCCCTGATTTATGATTTAGGAATTTGATTGAAGTGATATCATAATTTATTGTTACTTTTTAGTGACACTGAACACTTGGATGGGATAAACTTTATGGAAGACAGAGAAACTAAAGCGAGATCTTACATAAAAAATGATAATGGATAATAAAACATAATGTACATGGAAATTTCCTTCACGGTAAGCTTTTATCTGAATGGCAAACATTACAATGACATCTTGGGGACGGCAAACAGCAGTGATTTCACACAACTTTTGATTTTACTTACAAAATCATATTCATGTAATTGTTGTCTAGTTTGATATCATCCCCGAATCATATACTACGACTCAAACATTTAAATACTATGATAGACAGTAGAAGTTGTATAAATAGTATGATAAGGCTTAATATAAAGGTGAGACTGCATCTCTAGTTATCCATATTACAACTTTAATCTATAATAATAGCTTATGTCAATTATGTGATAAATAAATATGAATAGTAAGCAGCAGTCTCAGTCATATAGAAACATCATCATCTGCAGTTTTACACTGTACAGCTTACCTTTATACAAGGTTACACTGATGTGTAGATATTTCCATCCACACAATTATGGGGGTGTACAAAATGGAATAAACATACACTGGTGTCGTGGTTTCTGCCCTCTAACTCGAAGGTAATATTAGGGTGGGATAGTTCTGAACAGAGCAACATCTGAGAGCAAACAGACAAAGACGGAGTCCTTTTCAAGGTTGCAATTCAACATATCATAGATGACACTATAAAATGTGAGACTCAACCTTCACAAGAACCTGCATTTTCTTCCCATTTTTGCAATGAAACAAAAAGCTTTTTTTTTCCAATCCAGTAAAATACAAATTTAATTTAGCTACTGTATTATGGCTTCTGTCCCCCAAAATAATTCCCATTTCTAATGTATTACACAGATCTTACTCATTTTTTTTCTACTAAATTATCATCTCTCTTCTAACAACATTATTCACCCTCCTGTCTGCTCTCACCTGTGGCTGTTGAGCAACACAACTTCATACATTAACTTTAGAAATCACAGACAGATTATAAAATGACTCACAGATAGCATCACTGGTGTCAAACACTGATCACCAAATTATGCTAATCTTCAATAAAAACCCATTTCATACTTGGTGATGAAATGATCTTCATTGTGATTTCACTCCAACTTCAATCTTGTGATCATGTCACATTCAGTATTATACTGACAATAACAAAGCAGTACTGTACACAGTTACTGTATATCCCAGAAGTTATCTTGATGAGGGTCTTAAGTGACACCATGCACTCTTACCCTGCACTTACAACAATTACAACTTTAATATTCAAACATAATGAAATACCAGGTACTTAACTTTTCACATAACCTGGGTCAATTTTGGAATGAAAACATCATAAATCATACCACAATGTTCCTTCTCAATAAACACAGCTCCTTCATTAAAGAATCAATACTCATCCTGTAGGATCCAAAACACATTTGTGGAAGCTTCACACCGAGCACACAAGCGTGAAATTAGACAGAAAGTGTGATATAATAATTATGACAATCAAAGCTCACAAGGCTTTGTGGTAGACAGAAATAAATAAACTGTCGCCCAATGTATACACACTGTACATAACTTAAAAGTACTGACTGACACCTGGTTTCATGACCCGAGTAACCCGAGATAACCCAGGCAACCCGTGACACCGTGCGTGACGTACAACTATTTTTGCAACTTATGGTGACCTGAATAATTCATGATCACATATAGATCAGAGAACTTTTCACACCACCAAACTGCATTTAGTACAAGCAAACCATGATACATATCAATTATGTTGGAAGTCAGGTGTAAAAACATATATGCACACTTCATATACCCAACAGCTTTGTCATGTGTCAAGTTCAAAACTGCCTAAAATTTTTACCATGAATGTCAATATGCATAACCTTAATTTTTACACCTGAATAAATAAGTGGTTGTACAACCTATAGCTAGACATAAATCATTGCATTTTATATTAGCAAGGCTTTTGGATCTATTTGATCCCATTGGCATCCACAGTATAGTACAGTATAATATTGTAAATTATGACTAAAGACGCAGTAAAGACAGGTTAACATAACTGCCTGCCCAAGCGTCAACAAACACATTGATCATTGCCATTAGTTGGCACTTCCATTAAATAATAAATAATGAACTGTCAACCTACTCATTAATTACAATACTGCATATAATATGCTTCATTAAGAGCCAAAATAGTTTTCTGTATAAAATACTGTAGTAGTAATATATTTATTACTAGATAGCAATCACATATTTTGGCCATCATATCAATTAAAGCACATCACTTAGGGTGAGTTGGTGAAAAGGATCTAATACATACATAGATATGGCACCCATAATGAATACTGGATGATGGTGTCGAGAGTACAAGTGATTTGATTCAAATTATGCACTTCCTATCATAAAAGGACATGTCTACAGTACATACCACCGGATGCCGTCGGACTGAGTACCACACTAACTAACTATGACTTCATGGAAAAATTGGAAACTTTGTTTAAACTCAAAGTGAATATTTTGTGCTGCAAACCATAAATAATAAAACTTTTCTTAAGATCTATTGACACCCTGAATTAAATATAGCAAATTTTCACAGTAAATAAATAATTAATATTATTGATAAAGTTATTTCATGCTTAAGGCCATCCTCAAGAAACTTTCTGATATTAACCACTTGATGCACAAAAGCCTTACCAACACAATTACTTCAACTGTTTACTGGCTCCATTATTAATGTGTTGCACATATGCAATCCCATGATTTATGTGAGGGATGGTTTTCCAACATTTCTTGAGTATGAAATACATAATAAGTAACTTTGGTAACAAATTCACTTTTTAAATAATAAATAACTAATATTTAAACACTTTTGACCCACAGAGGGTAGACAATGGCATCCATTCATACAGCTTGTAACATTTGTAACTCAGAGCAAAGTTATACTGCTGTAAAGAACAATTAAAAATTACAAGCTATTCCCCCACCCCCCCAAAATAACAGAAACAAAATAAAATAAAGATCAGAATTGTGAAATCACATTTTATGGCTAAGGAGAAAAGACAAATGACCTGCAAGATTACTCAGCTAGAACACCCTTTGGCAGATCCTGTCTTGCCAAGGGGAATATCTGCTTTCTGAGGTAGGTACACTGTCCTCTCAGATCACTGTAATTTACTGCATAGGTGAACAATGATTCATGAAACAAGCTCCAGTGGTTGTGCTTCAAGAAGCTATCAGGTCAATGGGTGCACCTGTGTGAATCATTGAGCTGGTTCAACCGACTCAAACATCTCGGTCATAAATTTGAATTCTAATCTTCATTCCTCATGAGTCGACATAGCTACAAGCTCACCAAGTTATCATGCAGAAAGAATTTAGGGAAATACTTTTTCCCACAGAGGTTGGTAGACCTATGGAACGGTCTACCAGCCCAAGCTGTGGAATCAAGAAGAGTACCGAGCTTCAAAAGGGCCCTTAACAATATTATCAAGAACAATGGAAGGATTCCACAGAGGCCACTGGCCTCCTCCTCTCAGCATGGCCACCTCTAGTGGGTGGCCATTAGGTAAAATAAGATAAATTCTCTTACAGAAAGAGGAACCCACCAAGGGATGATGGTAGGATTCCAGGCCACTTTCCCCTTGATCATAAACTAAGATTTCAAACTTTAAACCTTTATTTTATGACCTACAGATCATTTAATAAGTGACCCACAAGATTTCAAACCAGTTAAGAAAGAAGTCATGCATCAAGAGAAGCAACTGAAAATACCAGCTAAGATAAACTCACTTTAAAAACAAAGTACTGTAGGTTAATCTTAAGATCTTGTCTTGCTCTGAAGCATCTACAAGATTTTTCACTTAGACATTATAAGATGTCTTGTAAAGGTCTGGAGAGCAAAATCTTAAGCCATTCATAAATAAGCTAGTAAATGGGTAAACTCTCCCAGTAATGATAAGTACCCTGTAAAGAGAAATAAATAAAGGGAAGACAGACCTAATCCGTTACTAGTTTACCATGTCAACTTATGAAAGAAACGAAAAAAATTATTAAAGGACAGAGAAGAACAAAGGTAACTCTTGTCGACAGTAAGCCAAAGATCGGTGAAGTGTGAAGACTGAAGTCTGAAAAGTCTGAACCCTAAGTTATGACTGCAGGGTTTGAGGAAAGTAACCTATACAAACAAAGTATCACAGTGTGTCATACCAGGTGACTTGATATCTCCTTGACTCTTACCAAGATAAAGATGGGAGCTTCCTTTTTAAACCAAAGTTCATCTGAGTAAGAAACTGTTAAAGTAATAAATTACACTGACCTAACAAGACAATGCCCATTTCAGAACAATGGGCGAGGCAGAGTCTACAGGAGGTGCTGGTGGGGAAATTACTTGTCTAATGACTGACCTAGAGGCCATGAAATTATCATTACAATACAGGGTTTGAAGTTAAAAATGTAATACATATCATTTTTCTTAAAATGTAAATTTCTATTACAGTACATGCATACATATACCTATACAGTAAATATATGTGTGTGTGTGTGTGTGTGTGTGTGAGTATGAGTGTGTGTGTGTGTGTGTTTTAGACAATGACAACCCCATACAATGGCTTCTTCTAAAACTTTTTCAGAAATATAGTTCTGAAACTTAATTTTTATTAAAGTAAACAAAGAGAACAAATGCCCATCAATGCTATTATCTTGCTCTCACAATGAATAATGAAGAAATGAAGTTAAATGCATAACCTTGACAAAGAGATATGACACTTCTAATGCTCTTCCGTGCATACTGTACTGTACTGTACTGTACCTGAATTTAATATTTTCACTGTTATCCATTCTTCAGACATCACAGTCAGACTCACTTAAACATTATAAATATGACTTAGGGAATATAAAGAATGCCCAGCAAGTCTTTGGAATAAGAAATATACATGTTGTAGTACAGAACACTTTAACAACAACATGGTACCCAAACACTTATTACCCGGGAAGTCCAGTTCTCCATTACTGTACTACATTCAAAGAAAATTATATGGTTACAAATCCAAACTAAACTTATGAAAATGACAATGAGAAGGAAGGACTCAGATGAAGATAAAGTCAAAATTTCTAGGAAAAATACTGCAGAAATAGTTTTCAACCTTACACCTGTACTGTACATTCTATCATGGGGAGAATTTTCTACAGAACAAGTCAAGAGTCAGCACAATTGGTGTTCCTTCTTTCTAAGTTACTAGAGATCCTCCCTCAAGCAGGTCACCAGTTCCTTCTTGGTCATCAAACAATCCACTAAGAGCAGATCTTCCTCCAACACCATCAGAAGTACAGTACAATATGTGGAGTACAGTACTGTACCAGTAGATCCTAATGATGACACATATGTGATCTAACTCTGCCTCTGCTCCTACCAATGTTCCAGCCCACTAGTACTGCACCCCAACTCCTATAAATAACATATGCACACCAGAAGAGGCACTGCTACACCTTTTGAAGCAAATTCATGTTGCTAAAAATAATTTAGTAAAATTTGGCTAAAAAAATTTTTTCCTATATGCAGTACATATGTTTTGTACCTGGGAACTATTTTGTTAACAAATTGCAGTTATTATGATTCACTCACATTTCTTAATGCATGACTTATAGCAATCTCTTACAAGCTATGTATTGTACTGACAAATAAGGTGAGAATGATTGACTGAAACTAGTACTGTACTGTACTTTATGTAACAATCTTAAGATACAATAAATATGCTTTCAGTATTTAGGTTGATCAGAAAATAATGACAAAGATCTGTAAGCACAATGAATAGCTGAAAATGATAATGCAAAAATGTTCACATGAGAAAATTTGCAGTGTTGTAGTACATATATCATGGTCAAGGGATATGCAAGTGGGTGAAATTTATCTCAACTATACTATAGTATAGAGGTTTAGAATGACTTGTAAACTGGCAGAAAGTGAGTCATTTAAAAATGGTCAGTTGTACAATAACCTCTGACCTCTGCACTGCACACCCAAATGGAAGCTGTTGAAAGAGTTGGGGGGGTGGGGAGGGAGGATATCTCCACAACTAGAACCTGTACTATGATCTCCCATACTAATACAGGTACTGCCGCCAAGATGAAGTTCAAGAATTGTTGCAAACAGTATGACAGGAATAGTGCGATGGAGACACACTCTAGGATACACACTACCAAAATAAATATGTAACAAGTAATGAAATAAATTGCTTTCAGAACTAAACACCTTATTTCTGTACTTTCTGATCATATCATATACATACATATTTGCATTATACAGTGTGTATGTATGTATGTATAAAACAAAAAAGATAAATTGCATTTGAGGACTTAAGATTCTTCCAGGCTTTAAGCAATATTTCCCAAAGAAAAAAAAGAGTCTTTAGTTCAGTCAGCATGGAATAAAACAAGTTCCAACTATCCCTATACGGAGCAAATTAATATTAAGATACTGAGGATGAATATTTTTCATAACTGATATTTTCCACAGTTATTATTGTTTGCAATGCTTTCCTTTTGAGGGCAACCTGTTCTTCATTTCCTGTCTTGTGTGTTATTCAATATGAATTATATTTTCTTACACAATAATACATACATTTGCAGGGGTACTGGTAGGGTGATAAGTTCTAGTCTTTGTAATGCACAGTCTCCTGGCTGGCCACTGCACGTTGTCTCTCACAAAGAAGGTTACTTATCTTATACCTCTTACCTTCACTATTGGCTCGCACGAGAAGATTCCTCGTGACGGCAGTCTGTTCTTCACTGTTAGCCCTGACAAGAACATTCTTTGTTGAAGAATTCTGTTCTTCACTGTTGGCTCTGACAAGTATATTTCTTGTAATTGTGCTTTGGTCTTCACTTCTGGCTCTGACAAGAAGATTCCTCCTGACAGTGCTCTGTTCTTCACTTTTGGCTTTGACTAAACAGTTCTTTTTGGAGAGAACTTTCCCATCAAACCTCGGTAAACACATGAAGTCTCGCCGAGTGTTGTTCTTTTCTTCTCCAGGTGAGTCTTGCTGCTTTCTGTCTCTGTCTCTCCTCCTCCGCCCAAGCTGGTTCAGGATGCGCCTAAGAAAAGCAGTGGGTCCAGCCGGTGATCTGCTGACATCAAGAGCGTCAGCAGAGGGAGGCGAGGGTCACCAGGCGTCTGTATATCGCACATCTACCTCGAGAAGGGATGGCAGTGTTTCTTTTAGTGTTTCAAAAGTTTGTACAGATAGGCTTGTACTATTAAGGTTTAACTTTCTCAGGCTCTTGATGGCTGCAAGAAAAATAACACAGGACTTACATAACATCATATTATAGTAAAATAATAAAAATAATATGAATAACAATGACCAATGAAAGTTCTATATTACCTCTGCCAGAAATGAATGGCGACAAAGAATTGACAAAATCTTCCCCCAGTTAAAAGTTTATTATAAAAAAATTGTAGTGAGAGATGTGGTGCATTTACTCTGCTCACAGACAAAACTATTTAAAATAATTCAGTTCTAAACAATCTATTAACCATACCAAATAATAGGCATAAATATCCTTACCTGCTAAAGCTTCAAGACCTTTGTCTGTAACTGGAGTTTCACATAAATTGAGAACTTGTAATTTGTGAAGATGCTCAGATATAAGCTGCAGTCCCACATCACCAAACTGAAGGAGGGAGCCACTTATAACACTGTGATCATAAGTCATGTTCATGATGGATGGATGGATTTAGCTTCTTCACCAAAATCCTAATCCTAACCTACTACAACTTTTTACCTGATCATTTTAACCTACTTTAACATTTTGAATGGATGTTTATCCAGGATGCAAAAAAATGAAACATCTATAAAACCTAATTACAACTAAATATCTATCAGGTTTAACTAAATACAAGACAATAATGTACAGTATAGTCTCAATTTACGCGGATTTCCTTTACGCGGCACCTGGCCAGACACCAATTATTAGTTATGCGGTACATTCCATCATTTACGCGGGAAGTGACGCGGGCAGGGTGCGCACTAGGTCGCCCAGTCAACAAAACATTACCGAGTTCTTCACCCGCCACCCACCACAGCCAGCCCAAGTCAGTGATAGTGAGGATATGGACTTTGAGGGGTTTGACAAAGAGGCCCTGCAAACCTCTGTGGTGGATAGTGATACAGGTGATACACGTGATACAGGTGAGGGCCAATAATCTGCCCTCTGCTTCGGAACCAACCCCCTATCCCCGTGTGCCCAGCCATCTCTTCTACTAACGTAATTGTTAAAAAACCTAATATTATTGATATTTCTCTTATATATTAATTGTGTGTGCATACCATCATAAAATTAAGATGTTATTTTTACTACAACGTAGGTATTGTGTCGGAAAAAGGGTAGTCTGGGGGTCAGCCCAGTCTCTATTTCAATTAATCCCATATGTTCTGTTATTTCGTTTACTCGTTTCTCGTTTTATGCAGACCTCCACGGGTTTAATTGACTGCGTAAACCGAGACTATACTGTACTGTACTGTATAAGTAGAATCATTAGTTTACAACTTGACCAATAGTCATGCGAATGAGTCCTCAGTAACTGCTACATAAGAATTTATTTAATATGAATCAATCAAACTAAATCTGCACATACCTGGGTGGCCCAAAGGTTGAGGTAGCGAAGGGTAGGTAGTTTGATGAGTTGCTCAGCGCAGGCACTGGTAACACGGGTAAATGCTAAAGAAAGACACTCCAGATTGCCAAATGAGCCAGAAGACAGCATGCGATTAACATCTGCATCAGTACTGCGGCTGGGCAGAGTGAGCTTTCTGGGGCCGCCTTTCTGTTGCTGTGTAAAAGAGGATGTAATAAATACATAACTTACTGCATTGTGTATAAGCAATACGACATGTAAGTGTTCTTCTCTCTATCAGTCTATAATAATCAATGTATAGTACTTCTCAAGCTCTACAACTGTCTGTAAATACTCTCAACTGTGTACTGTACATCCTCATGTTGACAACTTTACAACAACTCATTAAATATGTGACAATGATTCACATCTTCTAATCCACATATACAGCTACTCCCCGACATACGACCTACTCGACTTAAGTCCACCCGCACTTATGACCTGCCTCAGTCGTACCAAAATTTGGTCAAATTATGTATTTTTGAGTCCCAAAGTCAGTACACAGACAAAATTTTCATCTGTAATTCACTTTAAAATGGCTGGCAAGCTTAAAAGTGAGTGTTTTGTGGTGCTGAGAAGAAAAAGTGACACCCATTTTCGATTTTCTATGTGTTATTTAAGCATTTCTGACTTACGACCTGGATGTCGGTCCCTAACCCCATCGTAAGTCGGGGAGTACCTGTATTGTATCTGTGAAAGAATTGCCTTTTTCACACAATGCAAGTTCAGTACAATATTGTTATTATTATTTTTTTAATTCCATCTACAAGGGGTAGGTTATATACATAATACAGTACCTCCTTTACATACATCATAAGCCAATACTGTACATTTTTTTTCTGCCAAACTATGTCATCAGGTGAGATTTCCCAACTCCATCCACTCTTTACCTCACATATAAATAACTTGTACAAATGTGCCCATCCGATCTTAAACCTACCTCTCTGTAAGTGTAATGACTGCAACCTTCCACACCACCACTCACAATACAGTCTACCACACCACCACTCACAACAGTTTACCACCCTACCGCTCACAACACAACCTTCCACCCCACTAATGGGGCTGTGATCCTGAAAACCCATTTCATAACTGAGTCACTGATGAATGACTCTAACATAAGCCCCACCAGAGCTGGATTGGGTTGCTCCAGGTACAGTAACTCCACTCTGAGGAAACAAAGTTAAATTCAAAGATTTATACCCAATTCCCCACAGTAACCATCACCTTCAATATAGGGAGATTAAAAACCAAGATGGCCCTAAAGCTGAATGTTTTTTGAGTCACTGCACTACACAGCTTCTTGCACAGTCCAGACCTCAACTGTCTTGGCTACAAACTAGGTCTGCAGTGCCAGACATTCACTCCAGCCAACCTTCAAGGCATACATGGAGGCTGAATGTTGCTCCTTAATGACTCATTTAAAAAATGTGTTTTCACACACAAACTCTCATTCATAACCAAGTATTATTTTGGAACAACTCAAGTATCAAAAGTTATGAACACATTGTATAAAAACAAGATTTTCTAACATCTGATCTCTTCTTTTGTACCATTCATGGTCCAAAGACTTGTTGCTTCTCCTGATGCTCCACAAACCTCAAGATTCAGACTTGTGAACCCAAAGCAGTAGATACTGGTGCATTCTTCTGTCCACGGATGCTTTGGAATTACGAATCTGAATCTTGTGGTTTATAGAGCAGCAGGAGAGGTTACAGGAATTTTTACCACAACTGTAAATTTTGTAAAAATAATAGACAATAACAATCCTTCAAATTAATGTAAAGCCTTAGAGCTGGACACCAATCTCCCCAACACCTAGTATCATTTAATACAGTAGTACTACAAGTAAACCATTCCTTGTTCAAAGGCAACTGTCCAAATAAACGAGTTACTACAAGTTCATATGATTAATTTCAATACAGTATATTTCATTTCATTAAAAGTTTGAAAGGTATTTTAGTTACCAATTAAATAAACAGAAAGTCCTCTAGCAGTGAGTGGATGCACTGCATGTAGGAAATTCCCATAAAATACTTTTTCAAAACACACTCGAAATGTTGCTACCTTAACTTATACTGACTCAGGTAACATGTACAGGTTGTACCTCTCTAGTCCGGCAACCTCGGGACCTGACCGGTGCCGGACCATGGAAATTCACCCTTTTCCTGGATAGATAGTGACTTGTGCTTATGCTTGGAAGCACTAGCCCCACTTTCTCTGCTTCATGGTCTCTTTGAAGACATATTGAAGGGTTAAATGTCGTACAGTAGCTTCTCAAATTTCGCGAGTTTTTAATTCAACGTTTTTTATTTGAACACACAAAAAAAACACTACACAATTTAAAATTTTGATGGCGGAAACTCGAATTTCGACGGGTTTGAACGGCCCACCAACGTTCAGACGACGTGCACAATCGTGTAAACAGCGTCATTTCTCATATGTACAAAGGATTCGTTATTGTTTATTATTGAATGTCTTTTTGATTGAATTAATGTTTATGTGTGCAAAATGAGCAATACAATTCATTAATAATGCGTAGAATATTAAAACACATGAAATGAGACAGCATTGTTTTCGTTGATTACAAAACCAGTGACTGGCTGGTTCTACATACAGTGGGGTATGCTATAACGAATCTAATTGGTTCTAGAACCTTGTACGTTATAGCATTCGTTCGTTATAGGAATAATCCGTTCCAGGCCCCCAAATACAACCACTTAACACTGAAAAATATAATATAAAATTGAAAAAATTTGTAAAAAGTGCATAAATATGCATCTAAACCCCTGAAATAAAGAATATCATTAATACTTGTAATAAAAAAAGCAATAAATTAGTAAAAAAAAATATATACTGTATATATATTTTTTTAAATAATGTTCGTTGTAGGAGTTTCATTTGTTATAGCATTCTCAATTTTATAGGTAAAACCGTTCGTTATAGGAATATTCGTAGTAGGATCCGTTCGTTATAGCATACCCCACTGTATAAAACTGAAGAAAATAAGACCCTGATTGTAGATGTAGTAAAATTAATTTGGTTGTTTTAAGTAATGTTATTTAATGTTAATAAATGGAACAATAGAAGTAGCTAACGATAATGGTAAAGAAAAAAGAGAGATCGCGTATTTAAGTGCGCACATGTGAAAACATATTGTCATTACTCTACATAAGAATATGAAAGCAACACTTATTTACTGTTCATATATATTTTACTTAATGTTTCTGAATTTTTGTTTTATTGAATTAATGTTTGTGTGTGCAAAATGAACAATACAATTCATTAATAATACGTGGAATATTAAAACACACGAGGAGACGAGACGGCTGCCGGCTTTGTTTTCGTTAACGTTTACAAAACCAGTGACTGATTGGTTCTACATATAAAACTAAAGAAAATAAGACCCTGGTTGTAGCTGTAGTAGAATTAATGTAAAAAAATTAATATGGTTGTTTGAAGTAATGTTATTTAATGTTAATAAATGGAACAATATAAGTAGCTAACCATTAATGGTAAAGAAAAAAAGTGAGACTGTGCATATATAAGTGCGCACATGTGAAAACATATCGTCATTACTCTACATAAGAATATGAAAGCAACACTTATTTACTGCTCATATATATTGAAGGGTTAAATGTTGTACTCTGTATGGACAAGCAGAGAGAGAGAGAGTGCAGCCGAACTGCCGGATGTAAACAAACCTTAACTTCCCGCGGCTTGTTGATGTTTTTTTTATGGGGATTAGCCCACCCGGGCATAGGTCACTGACCCACATTGGGGCCTGAGGGGCAAAAATTTAATACTCCTGTAATAATAATAATAATTCAGATAAGTAAAAAAAAATAATAATAATAGTTGCCTATCTACCTATTGGGCAAACTAAAATCGTTCCGGACCACGGGAGTTTCCAGACCACAGAATGCCTGACTAGAGAGGTACAACCTGTATCAATGGTGTAAGTGAGGGCAAGTCATCATGGGGAAAGTGTTACACCAAGTCACATTAATGAGAAACTCAACTGTATCTGTGCTGGTGCTTCTTGGTTGAATATTATAAAATTCATGAGTGTTCTTATAAATGAAGAACAAACATGGGAACAAATAGAAACACCCTCACTGAAATCATCTAATTTGGTTTCATCCAACTAGAAACAGAGAACAATACAGTTACAGTACCCGGGAAAATGGATATTAGGTAAACATCTAATAAATTCCCACAGGTAAACATGGCAACCCCTGAACTCATCAACTCCATGAGAATGTGTATCCTGATGCACTATTTTTGACCTTGCCAATGAGTTCCTGTTAGAAGCATAGGATGGAATTCCCCTAGAAATAAAGCAGACTGAACTAGGCACTGGAGAGTATTTGCTGCCAGTAGATCTCCTTATCTCTGCCATACTCAGTAACTCTTAGGTTAGGTTGTTAGTACAGGGGTATACATAAACACTGATACAATGAAGTACAGTGGGTATAAACCACCTCTTGTCAGATGTACAACACCTACTACTGAATAGGACTAGCGCACAACCCAATGTCAAATTAGAAATAAATTTAACTTCTTTCAATAGATGTGGTTAGACAAATAATGTTGTGTCAGTAAGGTTGGTGGGCAGAGTGAGGGTTTGGTACTGTAAACATGTTAGGAGTCAAAACTCAAAATAACTGAGGTATGTAGGAAGCTGCATAGTATAATGGCTAGTCAGTCTTCCGGGATTACAGCAACCTTGGCGTCTAATCATCCATTCTTGAGGGCAGTGGTTGCATCTGGGGAGTTGGTTAATCTTTGAATCAGCCACCTAGTTTAAGGTTCCTGAGCTAAACTTACAGCTCTTGGTAGTGATCATACACGAGTCATTCAGAAAGAACCCAAGTTATAAAATTAGTTTAAGCAAAGGTATTTATTAAACACAAACTTAATGGTAAAATTCCCTTACAGTTAAAGGCATTGTGGTCATGATCAAACATATGTACCTTGTCATTACTCACACATTACCTGTACTTAAAAAAAAATAATAATTAAAAGTTGTTGAAAAGAAATTTTACAAATGAAAGTTTTGAAGCTACTGTACTGTACTGCACTGTACTGTAATATAATTAAGGCCACCATCATCAACACCGGCAATGACCTTAAACTGTTTATGACTAACTTAATACTGTACTCACTAAATGTGATTATACTGGTCCAGTTAACAAACAATATTAAGACTGATGGAGGTGGAGACTAAAGTATAAAAAGCTGAACCAATTATGATGATATTATATCCAAAATATTCATTATATGATCAATTTAGTCAAACTTGTGGGACAGCAATAAATATTTAACCCCAGAAAGTTAATTATATATGAAAAAGGTGGCCATGAGAGGATCTTCCTCTACTTGACAATACTAACATCAAAGGAATGCTTACATGGATGACCTTGGACAGCACAGTGGATCCAAAGGGGAACAATGAATTAACAGCAGTTTAAATTTGGCAGCAGACACAAAATAATACTTAAGAGAAATGTTGGGCTGCAAGGAATTTACATTTGTTTATGTAAACAGGAATAAAATGGCAAATATTTACAGTATATCTATTATTATCTATCATACCTAAAAAGATTTTCCCCCCTAAAAATGGCACATAAGGAAACCATCTCTCTGTCATGTAATATAAATAATCCCTAAATTCATCCACTATAACTGGCCATAATAATTTTGTATGATATTCTCCCATTTTCCTAACTTTTTTTTCATTCATAGACTCCCTTCTTCATTTCATCTAATTTTGAAAAAGAAGTGTTTTCAGCTGTCAAAATCTCATACACTCGTTCATCCTAAAGTTTGAGTTTGCTGACAGATTCCACAGGACATACAATTCTATCAACAGTCCTGAAACTCATGGTCTGCCCAGGTTATAATGCTCCATCAGTGGGTCTCTATTATGGGAAGATCTCCGGGTCTAGGGTTCACCTAACATGTTTTCCACCATCTTGGCATTTGCTCCAGACCCTTGATTTCTTCATATAGTTTTGCTGTATATTTTCAATGTTACTTTGAAAACATTTTGATAATGGATAAGCCTCAATGTCAATTATATTAGGTTAGGTAATTGTTAACTTAAGGTTAGGTTAAGTTTAGGTCACATGGAAAGAAACTACAGCTAAAGATAATAAGCCAAGATGGTAGGAAAAGCATAAATGCTCAAACACAGGGACTCTCCATGTAGGGTTCAATTGACAGAACAGTGTACCTGCAAGTAATGGTAGTACTGTACAGTGCATTGATGATTCTTATCTCCAAACTTCAGATACCTCAAAACTATGGCCATTTAAATCATTTGGATAATCTGAATTCAATTGTTATTGTTTTCAATAATAAATGTTCTTAAATAGACCTTTAGTGTCATTTCAGTATGATTAGGGGAAGAATATTTTTGTAGGATTATATCTCCCATTATAAAGTTAAAATTTTTAAATAAATATAGCTTTTATATCAACATTTATATCACTTATTTTTTTAATTAACAATTAGTACTACAGGTATAATGTAGTCATTTATCTTAGTTACAGAAAATTGGTAGATACAGTACCTATTTCCTTCTGGGATTGTCTTGGGACTGCATCCTCTAACCTTCAACATACTTTCTCACAATTTATTTAATACTTTATGTACTGTTACTCTACTATAGGCCCATTACAGAATTTCCCAAATCCAGAAAATTCTTGAATTACCTGTAGGTTAATTTTTGGTCTTAAGTTTGCCGGATAACCGATACACAGTATTAGTAGTTTAGGGCTGAGCTGCTGGAGCTGTAACCCTTTTATTTGAAAAAAAAAAAGATTCAATCATCCTAAACCCCTTTAAATTAATTAATGTGATATTCCTCCATATTTTTACTAGGCATAGACACATGATAGACTAGATAATAAACGGCCGGGCTACAAGACGTAACCAAAAGGGCAGCAGATGAGTGACACTATCTCTAGCACTCACAACTTCACTTTAACATGGCCCAGAAGCAACTGTAAAGAAGCAGGACTGACATCATGCACTCCATCTGTTTCAAAGATCAATAATCATAATGACTTACAAAACATTTTACTCGGTTGTAATGCAGTGAAGGAAAACTGTTCCATCCTTGCTCTTCAAGTTCTTTTCTGCATCCAATTTCTTATGTTTAGCCTTACTAAAGTTATTACGGCACAACTGGGACAATCTGCCACTTGGTTATTTACAGCTTGGGTTACCGAGTTCCAGTATTTTTCTTAAAACACAATATGGGATTCCTGAACATACTGTACATATATTCATTATCCTGGACTGATATTTGTGTCCAGTATTCTTTTCCACTAATGTTGACTGAACCTGTCCATTATACTTCATTCATTCTCAAAATGTCATATTGTAACCTCTCCCTCCAAACATCTACATTTGGTACTTCCAACTTTCACAGAATTTCCTCACATTCCAAGTTCTATTTTGAAATTTTTCTGTTCATTGTTGAGCTTCCTCGGTTGTTATTTACTGTCCAGGACTTTGTTTTATTCAGACAAAACTTCCTAGCTCCCAGCGACATATGCTTACAAGCTTGGGAGCAAATGGGTTTATCTTTCTATGTTGAGAGTTACACACCATCTATTGCCTTTTATCATCTGGTCTTTTATCGGTCCATGTATCAGGTATCTCCTCTAGGTATCATTCATCAATCCAGTAGCTTTTATAAATCTAAAGCCCTTTTCAGAAACAAATTTGTAATGTCAAATTTGGGATGAACAAATGTTACCGTTCAGGTTCTCTAAAAGATTTGAAGTAAGCAAAGATATATAAGAGCTGGAGGTCTAAATATAGCTGGTAATAGTGTTTTAAACTTTCTGATATAAAATCTACCAAATTTGCCACCACAGTTAAGCTTGGTCACAAACATATGCAGAAAAATTATGTTTTACTTTAAACTCCTGGCCCTTCTTTAGTAACCCAGCCCTCTCCTCCCACTTTCTGTGTGTTCACCTAAAACTGATATTTCATGAACATACCAATTCCCTGAGATGCATCTGGCGGTCACATAGGGCCTGGTACCGTCTTTTCCCCGTGGGTGTTGACTGCAGTGTTGTCACCACCTGGAGGCTCTGGTCTGACCCCTCAATGAGCTTCCACTCCAACATTAGACACAACACCTGCAAGAAGAAGTCTTGTTATCACATCACTGTGGAAACTTTTTAAGTTTAATGTAAAAACACAAAGTTCTTTAAAGTATACCAGATACACACAGAGTAACCATTGATAATATTTATTCATTATACAGTACTTTTATATTTCTTATATCAATATATATATAAGTTTCAATCAGTTTACAAGTTTTTCTCGACCCCAAAGTGTCACGTCACAGCTCGGAGAGTATGTTTTGCTCCCTAAACTGTACTGTGGGGCGAAATTGTTTAGACTATTTCTGTGTTTCAACAACTAAGTTCTTTAAGCACATACTCTAAATAGGGTCTCACACACACACACACACACCGGCTGCAACTCTATTAATAAACAGTTTATTATTATTATTATTATTATTATTATTATTATTACACACACACACACACACACACACACGCACGCACGCATGCATGCACGCACGCACGCACGCACGCACTGACCCTTTCGACTCTCACTGACCATCACCACGACCTCATCTGCAAATTTGGTAAGAAGCTTCTACACCATCCCCGACACCGGCTCCTACTACCACCTGAGATCCCTTGTCCGAGAATTGCTGTGACACCACAACCGCATCCAGCCCATACGTGCACGAACTGATCGCTATAAGAACAGCCCAGTCCCAACCATTGTAAAATCAATAATTCACTAAAGTAAACACTACTCCTTGCACTGTCACTATGTTGAAATGAACTGTAGTTTGAGCTTTTCCCCATCTAGTTATTATATGTCTTATTTGTGTCACTTATGTTACTTGTATATTATTTGTAATTCGTAACCCATTCCCCAAATATGTAACTGTATATTTACAGCCTTCTGGCTGCCAAGCTCTTTCAATAAACCGTTAATTATTATTATTATTATTTTACATTATATAAAAAAATAGAAGCAGTCCTTCCTAAAGAGGCAAGGACAAGATTACTGTAGACATGGTCCATGATCATCTATGAGGATGAAGTGTTTGGCAGAATTGCTGAGGGACTCGTACAGAACAGTAGAGGTTAACCTTAGCAAGAGTTAGGAGTCAGTAAGCTGAACAATCTATAAAAATTAATCAGTAAGACCCCAATATTATCTGAGTTCACAAGAGAAGACTACAAAGGGGAATAGTTATATATTACCTCACACATGGAAAATATAGATGAGGTCAACTGGAATAAAGTGAGGAGAGGTAACAGCATATGTACTACTATAACACAGGGAATGCTGGAATTAACTCTCATTAAGGTAGAGTTTGAGAGGCTACAGGAACTGGGAAGAGTTTAGAGAAATTTGTAGTTTACATAGTTTTTATTATGTTGCAATTTTGAATGAGGGAATAGAAGCTGAATGATGGGGTCTGGAAATATGTGGATGTGGTGAGAAAGTTAATAAGTGCTGTACAAGTGACTTACATCCTGGGCAGTGACATTCCCTCTGAGAGCCAACAGCATACAAGCACCCAAAGACTTAACCAACATTCCTAGGAACTTCTTTCTCTTGCAACAGCAGGTAATGAGTGTCTGCAACTGTAAGTATAAGTATTTCTATGATGTTTTTTTAACATTCATTACGTAAATTTTATTAAGAGTATTTGTCATCAAACAATTAACAGTAATCTCTCCAAGAAATACAGTAAATCTTTTAATTCCATATAGCTTAAACAGAAGCACATTCTTACAGTACAGTATTAGATGAAAGACTTACAATAGAGGCCCAAGCTGAGCCTTCATCCACACAGGCTAGAGAGGAGGGACAGAGAACATTGAGCCATCCTTCCTTGTCGTCCCGTGTCCCCAGCACCATTTGGTGGACTTCACATCGAGTATCAGTCCCAATTTGCTCAACAATTGGCAGGATTTGTCTGTCAGATGGAAGAGTAATTGTTAATTTCTAAGTCGATGAACATGCAGATATATTACTGGAAAAGTGATTGCACATTATCACTAAATAATATGTAATATACAAACAAGACTGGGGAGTGATTTGTTTTGTCATCTATAATACAGTAGTACTTATTTATCTTTCAAATTCTGCAAAACCAAAATTCTGCTTCTTTATTTCTTGGTAATGAATTAATAATTAATAAAACAGTACAGTACAGTACCTGTATTCATTAATTTCTCAAAATTAATTTTACACTAGCCAACCACAACTGATCTCTTACAGTAGCAGCTGTCAATATGAGAGGATAAAGACAAACTGCTGCCGTGTGATCACCCCAGGACACCAACAGTAGTCAGACTAATGAAGTCCAGCAGCGTCCGATGTCACATGCTGAGATTTTTGGCATGCGCATTTTGATCAGAATCTAAACTACCTAACCTAATATTCGAAGGATAATCTCAACATACTTTTATAATGTTTTGATTGAACTGCACATGCTCAGAATATTCTCAGCAAGGTACAATCTCAGCACCTACTACAGTACTGGTTTAGAGAGATTTCAGTGTACAGTACTCAGGCTGATCTTTCATACAAATACACTTGTACATTCTGCTAGTCTTGTATGCATTACATGGAAAAATGTCTTTAAGTATAATCATTTTCCTCCATAGAAAATTTCCCTTAAGTGGTTCCTTCTCATGAGTTAGTCCTCTAAAGTATTACAGGTTGTACCTCTCTCGTCCGGCATTCTGTGGTCCGGAAACCCCCATGGTACGGAACAATTTTAGTTTGTTCAATAGGTAGATAGGCAGCTTTTTTTTTTTTTTTTTACCTGAATTATTATTATTATTAAAGGAGTATTAAATTTTTGCCCCTCAGGCCCCAATGTGGGTCAGTGACCTATGCCCGGGTGGGCTAATCCCCATAAAAAACAACAACAAAGCCGCGGGAAATTAAGGTTTGTTTACATCCGGCAGTTCGGCTGCTCTCTCTCTCTCTCTCTCTCTGCTTGTCTATACAGAGTACAATACAACATTTAACCCTTCAATATATATGAGCAGTAAATAAGTGTTGCTTTCATATTCTTATGTAGAGTAATGACGATATGTTTTCACATGTGCGCACTTACATACGCGCAGTCTCACTTTTTTTTTACCATTAATGGTTAGCTACTTATATTGTTCCATTTATTAACATTAAATAACATTACAGGTACTTGAAACAACCATATTAATTTTTTACATTAATTTTACTACAGCTACAATCAGGGTCTTATTTTCTTCAGTTTTATATGTAAAACCAATCAGTCACTGGTTTTTTTAAGCTTTAACATAAACAATGCCGGCAGCCGTCTCGTCTCATCGTGTGTTTTAATATTCCACGTATTATTATTAAATTCTATTGTTAATTTTGCAAACAAAAACATTAATTCAATAAAAACAAATTCAGAAACATTAATTAAAATATATATGAACAGTAAATAAGTGTTGCTTTCATATTCTTATGTAAAGTAATGACGATATGTTTTCACGTGTGCACACTTACATACGCGATCTCTTTTTTGTCTTTACCATTATCGTTAGCTACTTCTATTGTTCCATTTATAAACATTAAATAACATTACTTAAAACAACCATATTAATTTTACTGCAGCTACAACCACGGTCTTATTTTCTTCAGTTTTATATGTAGAACCAGTCAGTCACAGGTTTTGTAATCAACGAAAACAATGCTGTGTCATTTCCTCGTGAGTTTTAATTTTCTACGTATTATTAATGAATTGTATTGCTCATTTTGCACACATAAACATTAATTCAATAAAAAAGACATTCTGTAATAAACAATAATGAATCTTTTGTACATATGAGAAATGACGCTGTTTACACGATTATGCACGTCGTCTGCACGTTGGCGGGCTGTTCAAACCCGTCGAAATTGAAGTTTCCGCCGTCAAAATTTTTATTTATTTTTTTTGTGTGTGTGTGTTCCAATAAAATACGTTGAATTAAAAACTCGCGAAATTTGAGAAGCTACTATACGACATTTAACCCTTCAATATGTCTTCAAAGAGACCATGATGCAGAGAAAGTGGTGCTAGTGCTTCCAGGCATAAGCACAAGTCACTATCTATCCAGGAAAAGGGTGAATTTCCATGGTCCGGCAATTTCCATGGTCCGGCACCGGTCAGGTCCCGAGGTTGCCGGACTAGAGAGGTACAACCTGTACTAACAAATAAAATATAGATGAATGAATAAAGTACTGTATATACAGTGGCCCCTCGGTTAACGAACACAATCCGTTCCAGCAGGTTGTTCGTTAACCGAAAAATTCGTTAACCGAAACCATTGTTTCAATGGGTTTTTGGGTAATTGGTTCCAGCTCACCGAAAATTGCCTAAATTCAACAAAAATGGTAGAAAAGTTCACTTACTTTGAGGTGTGTATGTAGAAGGCTCCTGGATGATGATAATGATGGGAATTAGAATGGGGGTGGAGGAGAAGGCATTGGGGTGGAAGAGAAGTCACCCCATGGCACCATTTCACCCATAAAATTTTAGTTCTCTTGGTGTAATTCAAGATTATTTTCTTTAAATCAACACTGCACTGCATTATATATTGTCAATATGTAAAATATATTTCAAAATGACCAATAATTTGCTTGGAAACAGAAAAAAGCGTTTAGTTGAAGAGAGTCTCAAGCAATATGTTACCTCCACTGAAAACAGAGAGAGACTAACGCCTGTTTGCTGTGTTAAGAGGCTGTATGCCACGCATTAAACTAGTCACTTTACCTTCAATTATGTTCAATAATTGTTAAAATGACTAAAAAATTTAATATTAAACTTTTAAAATTATTGAATAGTATAAACTTCTTGATATTTACTAAAATAGTAAGAAATTTAAGCCCTAGAACCGATTAATGTATTGGCGGACTAATACTAAAGCTGGCTGACCGGCCAGTGCAAGCGAAAACATGTTGAGGTCGGTTCGTAAGAAATTCGTTAACCGAATTTTTGTTCGTTAACCGAATTTAAGAATATTATGGGAGGCAGTTCGTTAACCGAAATTTCGTTAACTGAGGCGTTCGTTAACCGAGGGACCACTGTATGATGAATCTGAAGTCAATTATTATCTATCTCACAAAAAATGTTCTGCCACATACACTTTGTCAAGAGAAAATATTATTCATGATTTATCTTAATATAATGTGGCTATCCTCACTAAACCTTCCTCACAATCTATGGGACACTGACCTGATGAATTCTTCGTCTGCAAGAGCTACATCAGGAAAGGGGATAGGCTGTAGGAGCTGAGCAAGGCCAGGTCTCCAGTCATCATACTCACAGCTGCATGGAGAGAAACAAAAGAAAAGAAATTAGAATTGGATTTTTTTACGAGTACTCTACCTAATTTTACCTTCTGGCCACCCTTCTAGAAGTGGTTATGGTGGGTGATGGAGGCCATGTCTTGAGAAGGATCTCCCATTATTCTTGATAGTCTTATTTAGTGCTGTCATAATATTTACAGTCCCTACACAAGTCTTTATTATTTTATTGGGGAGAATTACATTCACAAAAACTGTACTGATAATTAAAAGTACTTTATTTTGTGAAATAACAAAATGATTTACAGTGTTCTCTTTATCACAATTCCTTGTTATCTGCAGGTGTAACTGTTCACAGTCAGTAACTATTCTGTATGGCTACATCTTGAAAGTTCTCAAAACTTGTGGAAACTTCTCTGGCTGCATCACAATACAAAAAGTGGTGTGGACTGGTGCAACTTTCCTCTTGTGTGAGTCCATGCATCACACCATGACTATCTGTCTCCCTCCCTCTCTGCTCCACTGCTCTACCATACTTTACCCATTTATTCTACATCTGGGGCCGCTACAAGAAAAGCAGGTAGCAATAATGGTGCTAAAGTGATGGAAAGGAAAAAGAAAGTGATGACTCTAGCACAGAAAGTTGAACTGCTAGATAAACTCGCATGTGGAATGACAGTTGCAGTTATGGGTTGTGCTTTTGCCAGTGACAATATAGAACATTAAGTTAAGCACAGTAAATCCTCCAGACTTCCATGGGCTATGTTCCTGGAAAACCTTATGAATACAGAATTTGTAAATGTGGATACAGTATTTTTATCCAATAGGAAACACAGTTTGTTCCCAGGTCTGATTGAACATACAGAGGATGGTCATACATTCTCTCTGCAGCCACTGAGGTACAACTGACTCGAGAGCCAGCCAGCACAGTAGATGATGCGCTACCACTCAGTTGCCACATCAATTGAAAAGCCTTAACTTAAAAATACTTCAGCATAAAATTAACAAACAACAAAACTAAAAAGTTAAAGACAATTCAAATGATTATAACTTTAGGCAATTGACAGATTTTTAACTCAGAAAGCCCACAGTAGGCTTTTATTATGTTGCTAGCATATACAATACAGTAGGGCAGCCATAATTCCCAGTCCACTCACAAGGGTAACATTAAAAGCAAAAATAATTAAGCTGAATCTTCAGAATCAAAATTCTCATACAATCTACCAAATGAGGATGAATTGTAATCACTACCTACCTACCTCTGCCAAATAACTGATAAATAATAACACCATCATAACTAGTCCCCTACAAGAACAGTAAAAGATAAATTATTGTATTGCAAACAACAAAGAACCCGTCAACAATGACAAAAAGTAAACCAAGTAGTGACCCTCTAATTAATATTTACCAGAGGGTATTATCATGTTACTGGCTGTAGTTTTACCTATGTTACCAAACATATAATAATTTTAAGATACTGTGCTGTACTGTACTGATGCAGGTAAAACTATTGCCATACTATTCTTACACCTAACCTTACCTTTACCATAGACAATACTCCATCTTTGACAGCTGTAGAACATTTACCTGAAATCCAACCACAAACAGACTGTCAGCTTCTAATGACAACTTGTATGTCTTCATGTCAGGTAAGGCATAGCAAAAGCACCTTAAGTGTATACCGTATATATACACTGTATTTTGAACGGCCTCCAGGACAAAATCCCACAGTACTGTATCTGGGGAATATCAAACAGATCCTCACTAATCGATAGTTGTAACTATACATTTTTCTGGGCTCTGGATCCAGTGAATCTATACACAGTACTGTACTGTATTTTATGACTCTTCTGGCTGTACAGCAATGAAAATCAGCCTCTGCACAACCCTGTCACTGTAACCAAAGTGTTTATAAGTTCAGAGTAAATGACTGTGTTGATGTGCAAGAATCCCAACAAAACCTTTAGCACACTAAGATGCTGATCTCACTTTACTTGGAACCCTCAGTAACTTCCTAAGGTTACAATTGAAAGAAAAAATAAATAAGATCGTTCATAACAAATAACTCTAAGAAACAAGTGAGTCTAATTGATGAACATAATACAATCATCTTACAGACGCTAACACCAAAACTGTATAGAACTGTATCCCAACAACTGTGCAACAAAACCCAAAACTGAAATATCAAATTCTCAATTACAGAAAAGTGTATGGGAAACCATTCATCCTAGGTAAGTCCATGAAACTACTGTACTAGTGTCTTTAAAGTGTAGACTGACAGCAGAGACCTGAGGGGTGAAGCTGTCCCAGGTGGTGTGATAAAAGGAGATTCATCTGATACACTTGAGAACTACAGTAAAGGACACCAACTTGACTACCCCGGCTGGAATTTAAGACAATCACTATATTTGCACATATTTGACTGATTGGAGAGTTTACAATACTACTTACACTGGTTGAGGTACTCTAATATGAAGTCAATGAAGATAATGTCCCTGCTCTGAAGCATTATACAGTATACTCTCTCTAAAGAGTATCTTTACGGAGAGATCTGATAAATTTCAAAATGAACACCACGACTCCTATTGTCTCAGAAGGGATGTCAAAATTCTTTGTCCATTGTATCATATTGTCTCATATAAGATGGTAAAGATACTTTTTGGAGTGAGTGTACGCTATCCGTACAGAGAATGGAAGTGATACACCTCACAGATCTCTAGCATGTTCATAAAACTGACTAAAGCTGTATACAGACAATCCTCACTATGTTATACACCCTCAGGCTATACAGTAAGTGTTTATGCATATAAAAAATTCATAAATTAGTGAACCCTTTTCACCGATACATATTTTTCTTAATACCTGTACATTATACAAATATCTAATGTTGCACTTAATCTTATTTGGTCCATATTGTTCCAGTACAATTCACACTGATGCATTACAACCTGCACTGCTGCATTACAACCTGCATTGCTGCATTACAACCTGCACTGCTGCATTACAACCTGCACTGCTGCATTACAACCTGCACTGCTCCATTACAAACTGCACTGCTCCATTACAAACTGCACTGCTCCATTACAAACTGCACTGCTCCATTACAACTTGCACTGCTCCATTACAACCTGCACTGCTGCTTTACAACCTGCACTGCTGCATTACAACCTGCACTGCTCCATTACAACCTGCACTGCTGCACTAAAACCTGCACTGCTGCATTACAATCTGCACTGCTCCATTACAACTTGCACTGCTCCATTACAACCTGCACTGCTCCATTACAACCTTACAACTTGCACTGCGCATTACAACCTGCACTGCTCCATTACAACCTGCACTGCTGCATTACAACCTGCACTGCTCCATTACAACCTGCACTGCTCCATTACAACTTGCACTGCTCCATTACAACCTGCACTGCTCCATTACAACCTGCATTGGTCCATTACAACCTGCACTGCTCCATTACAACCTGCACTGCTCCATTACAACCTGCATTGGTCCATTACAACCTGCACTGCCGCATTACAACCTGCACTGCTCCATTACAACCTGCACTGCTCCATTACAACCTGCACTGTTCACTGCACTGCTCCATTACAACCTGCACTGCTCCATTACAAACTGCACTGCTCCATTACACTGCTCCAGCCTGCACTGTTCCATTACAACCTGCACTGCTCCATTACAACCTGCACTGCTCCATTACAAACTTTACAAACTGCACTGCTCCATTACAACCTGCACTGCTCCATTACAACCTGCACTGCTCCATTACAACCCGCACTGCTCCATTACAACCCGCACTGCTCCATTACAACCCGCATTGCTCCATTACAACCTGCACTGCTCCATTACAACCTGCACTGCTCCATTACAACCTGCACTGCTCCATTACAACCTGCACTGCTCCATTACAACCTGCATTGGTCCATTACAACCTGCACTACTCCATTACTACCTGCACCATTCCAATTCTTTTCACTAAATGTTGAAACTGTAATAGATGATGAGAACAAATTTCCAGGGATGTTAATACAGGTGCTCCTCTACTTAAGAATGTTCAACTTACAAACTTTCAGAGATACAAACATCATCACTGAGGGGGGGTTACCTGCCAGAACAGGTGTTTAATGTGGATGAGACTGGATTATTTTGAAGAAAATTCCAGAGAAAACAAACATTACCTGAGAGAAGAGTGAGCCAAGTTTTAAGGCTGTATTAAAGAGTATAGCTGTACTAAATATCCATAATCTTTTAATTTTTTACAATATGTTTGGTATCTACAAGAGTAAAGTTGGACTTACAAACAATTTGACTTACAAACAAGCCTCAGGAACGTAACTTGTTTGTAAGTAGAGGAGCACCTGTAACTGATATCCTCACCTGAAAGAAATACATTGAAAAAGAATAATTAGGATAAGAAACTGTAAATAAAGAAATATGGTAAATAAATAAGAACAGTTCTCGCAGACTCACATTTTGTTAAGAACACTCAGGTAGCAGCTAAGATTGTTAATAGTATCGTCATTAGTTTGGTGAAGAGAATTGAGACGTTCCTGATCCTTCTGCTCCGCAACCAGGACACACACAGCTGCCGTACAGACAGCCACGAGGTTTGGTAACACTCGCAGGTGAGGGCACGTGCTGGTCAGCCCATGCATACTGTGCACAAACTCATGCACAACTCTCCGTCCATCATTCTGACTATTGAGAGCTTGGATGTAGTCCTGCACAAAACGACGCACATATGGATACTTTCCAAAGTCCTGGAGGATGAGAAAAACATCATTAATGGAAAAATACCTGGAAACCATCCAAAATACTTATGGTAACATCACATACACATTTAAGTACAGTATTTAAGACGTCAATTACACTGTGCGTAAATTTTAAATCGCATATGCAGTGGTCCCTCGGTTAACAAACAGTTTGATTAACGAAATTTCGGTTAACGAATTAGCTCCCATAAGGATTTTCAGTTTGATCAACGAACAAAACTTCAATTAACAAAATCCTTACGACAAACACATTTTCTTGTGCGCATCAGCTGATCAGCTGATCGGCTAGTCCGTCAATACAGTAATTGGTTCTATGTTTATATTCGTTTCCAATGGAGTACATATCAAGAAAGTTGGTCTCCTGAATATTTCTGCACTTTTTATATTAAAATTATTGTTCATTCTGAAATTTAGTTAACATATTGATAATATAGACAGTACAGGGAACAGTTTTTGTGCGCCCATCAGCTGATTGAATCACCCAACAACGCTTCTCAGTTTAACTTTGTTTGAGGTTCCAGAAAAAATGCGTTTTATCGTGTAAATGGTGCCTGACGTATGTATATTAGCCATCATTTTGGCTGCTACCCATAGCCTTCAAATTATATACTGTGTACCTAAAATAAAATTAATAAAAAATAGTTGCTCATTTCATTAATGAGTTACCTTTGTAGTTATTACAGCATATTGTGCTGCATAGACTTAAAGGGTGCAATAAAGAGAAAAAATTTAAAGCCCAGCTTCTCTAATTAGATGATTTTTCAGCCTCAAAAATTCCACAAGACCCTTTGCTGCTGATACGTACATCAATTATTGTGACTAAACTGTTTTACTTGTATGATGAAATTAAGCTAAAGTACAGCGTGAACTTTCTAAATTTCGGTTTGAGTAAGTTTGAAATCTCACAGCATAATAGGCAAGAGAGCGTATTAAATCTAGGTACTGTATTGTACAAATGTTTATGATTCTTACAATATCTCGGTGGTTATATTTTCATAATTAGGTTAAAATACTGTATTGTACACTTAATCTACATTATCAAATGTCATTCAATTGGTGAACCATGAAGATAATCAAGAAATAACTACTTTACTGTACGAGTACTGTACTATCCATCAAACTCATTCTTGAATTATACAGGTATTAAGGCATTGGCTGATATTTCATAAACAGTACAGTATTGTATAGATAAAGGTCACACTATATATCAATTCTCCATTAAGTTTGGGACTGGAAATGATCTATATTTGGGAGTTTCTAAATTTGGGAAATAAGAGACCGAGCATATACTGTACCTTAGTTACTTTTAGTTACAACCTTACTGGGATATTCTTACCACATTGTGTTTCAGTATCCTTTTAATAATGGGCGTGAACATGTCGATGACGAGGCACGAGCGAGGGTTATCTGTACAGTGTTGACTGAAGAACTGACAGATCTCTGGAGAAGGTTGGTTGTTCTCCAGGAGGGGGGCCAGCGTCACGATGATCTCCTCAGTCATCTGTCGACTCAGCCACTTCTCACCCTGGAAGTATTGTATTATCAGCACAGGTTTAGGTGTTTGGTCTTTATTCTTAACCACAGACACACACACACACACACACACTACAGAAACTTCACTTGCAGCAGTTGAACACTTGACTCACAACGAGGGACTTACGAAAGGAATCGTTAATAAATTAGGGAGGTGAGGCATAATGAGGCTATGAGGGAAGTGGGTTGTGGTGTGGGGATGAAGAGTAAGGGTGAGTATGTAGTGTGAGGAGTGAGGGTGAAGAGTGGGAGTGAGGGTGAGTTTGTAGTGTGAGGAGTGAAGGGTGTGGCAGGTAGTGTAAGGTGATCAAGCAGGGGACTCCACCCTCTCCCTAACATATTTTCATTTCGCTAATAACGTCATTTTACAGAGTGCTTCTCCTCCTCCTCCCCTCTTCCTCCCTCATCTCCCTCTTCCTTACCCCCCCCCCTTCTTCCTCTCTATCTCCCCCTTCTTCCCGGTACACAGACTACACACGGTACACTGGGCGGGTGTATGGGATATAACAGGTAAGGGAAGTAGCATCGCCTGATACCTCACCTTTAAGCTGGTGAGTGGGAGTTAGGAAGAGGGAGGGAGATAGGGTAGGGGAGGGGAGGGGAGAAGAGAAGCAAGCAGATGAGAGAGGGAGTGGGGAAAGGAAGGGGGAAAAGGAGAGTGAGAGAGAGAGGGAGAGGGAGAGAGAAAAGGAGAGGGAGAGAGAAAGAAAATGAGAGGAGGGGGACAGAGGGGGGGAGGTGAGAGAGGATGGAGGAGATGGGAGAGAGGCATAACAGGAAGAGGGAGGAAAAAATAGAAGCTGGAAGGTAAAGGACAGAGCGGAAAGGAGGTAGAGAGAGGAGGGAGAGATAAGAGGTAAGGGAAGAGGAGGGGCGAGGAGAGGGAAGAGGAGGAGGGCACGAGTAGGTGTGAGGAGAGGAGGATGAGAGGGATAAGAGAGGGAGGGATATATCGTTATTGATACTGTTTAGTGGAGGCAGTCTGTGTCATCCATTGCGCAGTGAGTGGAAGGGAGCATTGAAGGGGAGAGGTGAGATAGGAAAGGAGAGGAGGTGGTGAGGCGGGAGAGTGAAATGAGAAGAGAATGAAATGATATGGGTGATAAAAACCTGAAGAGAGGAGGAGGAAGAGGAGGCTGTTCAAGTTTATTATGATCGTAAACATTCTTACACACAAGTTTGTTGGACTGAATGTATGACAATTTATATACATGTACTGTATACACACAGGTGTTCATGTTTGTATATATTTGTTTATAAACGTGAATGTGTAAATAGTTATGAATGCATTTGTACATTTGTTTATATCACGTAAATCTGTGTGAACGTTTGAGTTTATTTTGTTTATACATGCAAGTAGCCTACACAGATGCTTGCGTGCCGAGCCCTTGAAGAATAAATCAACGATACGCCTCTGTATTGCCTATATAGTAACATATGGAACCAATGTAAACATGTATGCCGATTTTACTGAAGACAAAATCTATCTAGTTACTTATAAATGAAGGCACAGTTTGATACAATACTCTTTACCACCCCTTAAGGAACACACTATTAACTATACTGTATACTATACACTTTACTTTACGTTATATTTCTACCCAAATTTTATTGAACTTTTTTTATTTATTTTTAGCTCATAGACAGACTTCAGTGCTAATAGTGTTACCTAGGTATATGTCATAGGTCTTGCTCTCAGTGTGTATGTGTGTATGTTTGTCAGTTGAGGTACACATATGCTCTTGCAGGTGTACAGGTGTTTGGAGGAAAGGTGCGAGTGTGAGGTTGATGCGTCGCCAGGTAAGTGGTTAGGGGTGTGGCGTCACCATGGTTACCACGCCCACGCAGCCCCTCAGGAGCCAGAAACGCGAAGGAGAAGTTGAGGAGGGGAAGGAGAGTGGAGGGACGAGGGAAAGGCGAGTGGAGGGAAGAGGGGAAGGAGAGTGGAGAGAAGAGGGGAAGGAGAGCGGAGGAACGAGGGGAAGGCGAGTGGAGGGAGAAGAGGAAGGAGAGTGAAGAGAAGAGAGGAATGGGAGTGGAGGGAGGAGGGGAAGGAGAGTGGAGGGAAGAGGGAAGGAGAGTGGAGGGAGGAGTGGAAGGCGAGTGGAGGGAGAAGAGGAAGGAGAGTGAAGAGAAGAGGGAATGGGAGTGGAGGGAGGAGGGAAGGAGAGTGGAGGGAGGAGTGGAAGGCGAGTGGAGGGAGAAGAGGAAGGAGAGGAAGAGAAGAGGGGAATGGGAGGAGGGAGGAGGGGAAGGCGAGGGAGGGACGAGGGGAAGGAGAGTGGAGGGACGAGGGGAAGGAGTGGGAGGGAAGAGGGGAAGGGGAGTGGAGGGACGAGGGGAAGGCGAGTGGAGGGAAGAGGGAAGGAGAGTGGAGGGACGAGGGGAAGCAGAGTGGAGGGACGAGGGAAGGCGAGTGGACGGAAGAGGGGAAGGAGAGTGGAGGGACGAGGGAAGGCGAGTGGAGGGACGAGGGAAGGCGAGTGGAGGGAAGAGGGTAAGGAGAGGGAGGGGAAGGAGAGTGGAGGGAAGAGGGGAAGGAGAGTGGAGGAGGAGGAAGGCGAGGGAGGGAAGAGGGAAGGAGAGTGGAGGGACGAGGGGGCGAGTGGAGGGACGAGGGAAGGCGAGTGGAGGGAAGAGGGAAGGAGAGGAGGGACGAGGGGAAGAGGAGGAAGAGGGGAAGGAGAGTGGAGGGAAGAGGGGAAGGAGAGTGGAGGGAGGAGGGGAAGGCGAGTGGAGGGAAGAGGGGAAGGCGAGTGGAGGGAAGAGGGGAAGGCGAGTGGAGGGAGGAGGGAGACAATGGTGGAGGGAAGAGCGCCATGACCAAACACTTGTACTGTACATAACACCTGTACTGTTAGAGGTTCCGGGTAATAGTGTCCAGCAACAGGTGGGTACGTACCATAGTGTCCAGCAACAGGTGGGTACGTACCGTGGTGAGAATGGAGGAGGCAAGTTCGAGGGGAACCCGGCAGACGGTGTGGTCGTGGAGGGGCGTGGCCAAGGACAGCTCCACCAGGTTCTGCAGGAGGGAGGAGGCGTCAAGGGGGAGGCTCACGACACAGCCATGGTCGCCCGGGTCAAGGATCATGACCACCGGACCCCTAATGTCTTACAACTTTTTCAATTAACAACTTTATTGACGGTATATTATATTATGCAGGGTGATCGAAAAGTCCCTGTGCACCTGTAATATTAATAGTATAGTTTTTTAATCGTGTTCTACCTTCAGTAAATAAAAGGAATAGCCTCGGGTGCACAGGGACTTTTTGATCACCCTTGCGTATGATTATTTTAAATGGTCAGGATTTCGATCTGATATATGCAGTATTACCATAAGTACATTTTACGATATAAAACAAAATTAAAAACTTTCATAAATTTGTGAAATATCTAAACAAATATATATAAATATAAATCTTAAAACTGAGAAATATATAGTACGTTTGGTTGGGGAGGACGATGACTTACCTTGAGCTCTTTGAGGAGTACTTCAGGCCGCTGAGCTGTCCGCAACACGTTACGGTATTTATACACGTTTTTCTGTAAACAGACAAGGTAAAGGTTCTTCTTGGTAATTAAGTTTGAATTTATATACATGTTGTATGAAATGTAACATACATACATACATACATTATTTATGTTACACTTAGCCTCTCTAAGCGGGTTCTAATGCGTTTATTTAACCAATTTGATCCACTAGCTACTGACGTCATGTGCAATATGTCGCTGTAGTCGTGTTAACCGGAACTTATCAAGGTTTACAGTATGTCTTAGAATGTCGTTTAGCTCCACCTGAAACCTGTTGAGCATTATTATTACCTGTTAAAATGCCTCATGTGTATATTTGAGGGTCACGTGTCAAGAAAAACACTGTGTCGTGGTGTCGCTGTTATTGTGTTCACTATTGCTACACTCTCTGACGGAGGAACCAACCACGCATCCTGGATCCGGCTGGAGCTGCATGAGCGTACACTTGCTTTAAGGACTGTTTGACCTATAGGCCTAATACTTACATCCTTCTGATACACACACACACACACACACACACAACACTATCACTGCCTCACCTTCCATATAATAGAGTGGAGCCACTGGTCTCTCGTGTAGGAGTTATTCGCCTGTAAAGAAAGAAAGAAAAAAGTTTACAGTACAGTAAAAACAAAGGTGACTTACAATTAATCTTTGGGTCCCTCCGTTAAGCAGCACTTGGATAAACACACAGAAAAACAAAACATTGATCATCAGGACAATTGAGACAGACATTTGCTGGCTAAACGTAGTAATATTAAACATAAATCGTTCTGACAAAAAACTAGTAACACATAATACATATAAGAGGGCAGGAAACTGTAGAAAGTCAGGAAGTAATTTCTCTCAGATGCCAACACATTCCCTCCTCCTCCTCCTCGCCCCGTCTTGAGCGGCTACTCCCCAAACTTCCTCTAGTTTCTGTACTAAATCTCAACTCTGGCCATAACTCACAAAATACAAAAATATTATATAAATACAATACCTTCACCAATCATCATTTAATATAGTGATCGAAAACTAGATGGGAAATATTACATAAGAGGATATAAATGTTGGCAGTGGCTTGGTTCATGTGCCCGGGCCCTCTTATGTCTTGGCGGGAAAAACTGGCTTACCTTGTGTTAGTTTCGTTCCTGATGATGGTTCGGGATAGTCCTGGACTTATAATTTACACCATTTCCTCCACGTGTTATTAAGCTCCTTTATTTACACTCTCTATCCTAGCTTTTATTTCCATTTGTTTATCTACGACAGTTAGAACTGGCTGGATCATGTGTAACTATGTGCCTCTTCATTACTCCTTTCATTATCACTGTATCTGGCCGACTACCCACCCTTCCCTCCCACCCACTTTACCTCGAGTAGCGATCATAGCAGGTTAGGTGAGGTGAGGTTAGGTAAGCTACGAGAGGACGGAAGACAAGCAGGAAGTACACGAGGAACAACAACACATTGTCACCCCCAACGGAGCCAAACAGGAGGCCACGTCACCAGGAACTGTGTACGTCAAAAGTTTCCTGTGATGATCAAGGGCCTCCTCTCATCACTACTCCACCGAGGGAAGTATTTAGTCACACATCCTAGGAAAATATATAGACAGAAGATTCATGACTTTCAGCATCACCAAGAGCATAATCATTGGATGAAAATAATTAATTATTCTTGTGTTATTTTTGTTTTGTTTTATAAAGTAAAACCAACATTTGGTTTATACGTAGGTCCATGTAAAGATATTATGCACACTAAATACTTATCCCAATATAAATGGAACTTCAAGAGAAGAGATCAACTGTAACCCAAGGATGTGGTGTTGAAAGTCACGCCATAAACACTTCAGGGACAAAACTGGTTATTCCGAGTCAATGAACGAAACGAGGCCGCTTGTTTACTGTAGTTATCGCTGAAACAATAAAAAAATGGATTATAAAGAAAACGAAATTTTAATGTCAGACGCTACTGAGGGAACAAACTAATGGTTTTAGTGACTTCACGTGTTTTAATCAGTGTCCAAGAGCAGTATACCGTACGTACAGATGAAAATTCACTTACATCTGTCTCAATGAGTAATGTTCTAGACACATTTCACCTCTCATCTGTACCTCACCATAGCGCGGGGCAGTGTTTGGTCTGGTGTTGTCATGCAGCAAGCGGATGCCGGCACCTAAACTGCCTCTCATATTATCCCTGTCCCTAACCAAGTCATTGTATTATACTATAGCGTGGTAACATTGGCCCCACATCTCTGGTTTTGTGCCCTTTGCTTACTGAAGTCTAATCACAGTACACGTCTCAATGTTTGGCTTACGCGGGGGTGATGTGAGGGACAGGTACAGTAACACAACATGGAAACCTTACTACCATGAACAAATTTGCATTGTCTTACTGTACAGTATATACTGAAAAGTTAGTAAATATGGTAAGTGAGTGTGCGCGCGCGCGCGTGTGTGTAGTAGTAATAATAATAATAATAATAATAATAACAATAATAATTAACGGTTTATTGAAAGAGCTTGGCAGCCAGAAGGCTGAAAATATACAGTTACATATTTGGGGAATGGGTTTCGAATTACAAATAATATACAAGTAACATAAGTGACACAAATAAGATATATAATAACTAGATGGGGAAAAGCTCAAACTACAGTGCGTTTCAACATAGTGACAGTGCAAGAAGTAGTATTTACTGGGAGTGAATACACTGATTTATTACAAGTTATTGATAATTTTTACAATGGTTGGGACTGGGCTGTTCTTATAGCGATCAGTTCGTGCACGTATGGGCTGGATGCGGTTGTGGTGTCGAACAGCAATTCTCGGGCTAGGGATCTCAGGTGGTAGTAGGAACCGGTGTCGAGGATGGTGTAGAAGCTTGTGTAGATGGTGTAGATGGTGTGTGTGTGTGTGTGTGTGTCTACAGTTCACCTCGCCCAGGGCTCTCAGCTTGGCACATGGATGTAAATCATTTAGATGTGTAATTTTTGAGGAGAGAGAAACAAAGAGAGCGGTGAGGGGTGTTGTACTTGGCGGCTGGCTGCTCAGTATGAGTAACTGTATCAGGACTTGTCTTTACGCAAACACGACGAAAAACACACTCAACTGAGGGAGTTCCCTTGTCACTTCTTACATTATGTATATTTAAATATTTGTCTACTAAGCCTGGAATTAAATTAGTTTTACTATTAGTGGGTACAATGTGTGTGGTGAAACTTACAATGACTTGATGTTGGTGTTCGTGACGATAAGGGAACTCATCGTGAACAAAAAGCCAAGATTTAACTCACACTCTCACAAAAATATTATTTGTTTACATTTTTTATAGAGGATTCCCCATCAAATCAACTTCGATATAAGGACATTCGTTTTTGTCTAAACTGGAATGTTCTTTTTTTTTGTCTTACTTGCAACTATTTTTAGTACCGGTATCACTTAGGTAAATTTTCTGACACAAAGCATCAAACCAGTTAGTGATCCCGGACTGGTTTTTACCTCTCATCTCACAAACACTCCAGATACTGGTCCAGTTTCCTTATACTTCAACAGGTGAAGACAGACAGGCAAGGTGTCGTAATGCCGGAACTTATTAATGCCCGCTGGGACAACACCCTCTCCTTCCCCACCCCTTCTGTGTCCTCAACCCCTAACACACACACACACACACACACACACACACACACACACACACACCTCCGTCCTCAACAAACAAAACTTCAAGCAACTATTTATTGTCTTTTTTGTATATTCAGTACTTTAGTAAGTGTGTGTGTGTGTGTGTGTGTGTGTGTGTGTGTGTGTGTGTGTGTGTGCCACTCTTTCATCATCTTCTCTGGTTCGATTGTGTAAGTAGAATCATGTCTATTATTACTACCTCATGTTTATTTTTTTCCCGTTTTTCTTCGCTTCATTTCTCCAGGTTCAAGGTGAGGGAGAGTGACTGACTCCCTGTCTTTATCTCTCACCATTTGACGTGTAGAAAATTATAAATAAATAAATAAAAAACCTTAATAAAAACACAAGATCAGCTCGAGCTCATGATTGTTATGAAAAAAATATTGTAATTAAATCGTTGGTTTCCTAATTATCACGGTATTATTAACTTATTCTCGAAATACAACAAATAAAGGCAATAATGACTGAACAAAATTATCAGTGTTCACTTCTGTTCAAAATCTACTAATAATATCCTTCTTACTATGTGAAATTATATCTTCACTCAGGTACAGGTTGAGGTGATACAAATACCGTATTATTAGTGTAAAGACGCACATTATTTGGCTTTCTTGTTATTGTGTGTATACTGATATGTGCACATGTTCACGACTACCGAGCTGTGTATACATTATCTCACATTCAATAGGGATAATTGCCTATGTTTAACCCTGTCAGGACGATAGCTAGTCCGAGGTTCCCAAAATAGAAAAAATACATAAATAAATAAAAGTTAAGGCTAAGGCTAATAGGCGATTATCCCTATTTAATGTGAGAGAGAGAGAGAGAGAGAGAGAGAGAGAGAGAGAGAGAGAGAGAGAGAGAGAGAGAGAGAGAGAGAGAGAGCAGCATCATCATCACACATTAACACAGAAACAAACATATAATTACACCCAAATAGTAATGGTTTTAAGCTAATTATTTTTCTACCTGTCACTCAAGAGGACCAACAACACTGCGTCACATTACCAATTATCCCTGAGAGAGAAAGGACCCCCCTCCGAGAGAGAGGACCCCCACCCCTCCCGAAAGAGAGAACCGCTCCCCTCCCAAGAGAGAGGACCGCCCCCCTCCCCCACCTAAATATAAAATTTATCCCGTGTTGCAATAGGGATATTTCCCCCACTAAAAGCACCACCACGAGGGTTCATAACTGAAGAAAAAAAGTTAAAAAAAAAACTTGAATTTGCCAGTGGCGGTGGTGGGCAGCTACGAGTTTCGTGTGGCACAAAACCTGCCCACTGATAGCCAGGTGAAGACTCGGTGGAGAGAACAGTCAAAGTACTCATACAACACACAACTGCCTTGGTGTTGTTTTTAAAGGACACATGAAAACTAGACACCCTTGATTATTTCACCTTGTTATTAAACACCTAACACTACTTGGTTAGGTTAGGTATAGGTTAGCGTTATGGTGGTTAATCTTAAGATTGGTTCAGCATGTATATAGATAATACAGGTGTATATATTTCAGCAGATACACACACAATGTAAATATACAATTTCCAGTGTATACATAGACAGTACAGGTATACAAAAAGTAAACAGTCAGTCCATTGAATCAAGGACAGCCAAGAAGACCAAGAGACGAGCGGTTACTCTCCCAGATGAAAGTTAAAAGACTCAAAGCGGAGAGATACAAGTTAAGGTTTATGTTTAACATAATAAATCAGTAACTGTGACAACCCAGCGTCGGAGGAGGAGATGACGTGACGAAACTATAAATATACAATAAATCAAAACAAAATAACAGCAGATAAACTAGCAAAATAATAGCGTTAATAAAAGCAGAAAAAAAAAAAAAGCCTCACTTGACAAGGACGCTCCTCACCGCCCCGAAGGATAAGTCTCAAAACAAAGGCTCTTAACACTGGCAAAAATT